ATTACAATAAATTCAAGAGTGGCTGGGAACCTCCCTCATGGCTTGATTGCCTGGAGACTTAGGGCATCTTATAAATTCTATTTACAATAAAATAAATTATCTTTAAGTTTTTAGTTTTGCAGAGAAAGGAAATCAAATGGAAGTGGTACCTTTGCTCTAAACTAAAACCCTCACTGATTTGGAATCAGTGGCACCTGCAGGCCTTTGGGTTTTTCTTCTCTTCCCACCCCCCTAGGCAAGAGAACAAAAACCACAAAAAATTATGCACCTCCACAAAACTCTACCCCAAAGTCACAAAATCCACTGTAAAATCAGCTGGCTGACTCATTTACAATACTCCCAAGGAACCAACATATTGTGATTTTTATTGTATTAAATTAAAATGAAAATTTTTATTTGTAATAATTAATGTTACCAAGTGTTTTCCATATATTACCTTAGTTAATGTTTATAACATATTTATAGATGTTAGTTATATTAACCTCTATATAAGGATGAAGGAAATGGAAACTCATTTCAGTAGTGTTCTACTCTTTGTGACTGGTAAAGACACTGCAGTGATTCGCCATTTCCTACTCTATTTCATTTTATAGATGACGAAACTGAGGTAAACAGGGTTAAGTGACTTGGCCAGGGTCACACAGCTAGGAAGTGTCTCAGGCCAGATTTGAACTCAGGAACAAGAATCCTATCTCTAGGCCCAGCATGTTATCTACTGTACCATCTACTACACCACTTAGCTGCTCTTTGTCTTTAATTACAAAAATGTTAAGAGGCAGGATTTGAATCCAAATATCTATTGACTCCAAGTTTAGTCTTTCTACACAATGATTCTTTATAAAAATGATTGGGTAGGTTTAGTATAACTACTACACAAGAACACAGAGAAATGGAAGATGACTCAGAAGCAATTTACTTCAACCTATACATGATAAAACGAGCCCTTTACAATACAGCTTGAAGATGTCTACTGAAAGGAATATATAGCCCCTTCACTGTTTGGATAGCTCTGGTTATTAGGGACTTTATTTTCTTTCTTTCTAACCTAAATTTAATTCTTCCCAGCTTCTACAAATTTTGTAAATCGAAGTCTAATGCCTCTTTCATGTAACTTTTTTTTTTCAGATGAAGACAGTAGTCATGTACCCTTACCCTGCCTTCTCTTCTCCAGGTTTAGCATCTTGTTTCTTCAGACAATCCTCACGACACAGTCTTGATACTATCTAGATAAGTAGACTCTGAAAGGAGAAAAGAATGAGAAAATGAGTTACATCTAACCCTCTTTGCAATTGCTAATCAAGGGCTTGTAGGCTGTATATCACTCTGCCTGCAATGGCCAATCAAGGCTTACCTTTAATACAACCACATCACTCTCTTCATCCTCTATAGTTTACTACTTCCCCATTCTCCTTCTTCTCACAGGAGGCTCTTGTGGATGTATTTGGTGGAGCACAGGCACATGGAATGCAAAATTCCCTTCATTCTTTCCCCAGTAACTCCATATGTTGCTCCATATATTGCCACCAGCTCTACACTCCAGGGTAGTGGTTAGGAATTATCTCAGGCTTCCAGTCCATTTTTCGTTTTTAGTGGGAAAGAGTGAACAGTACAGGATAGGCAGATATGACTGGCTTACAATATGAATCACAGAGTTTATCATATTATCATAACCCCTGCAAACCCATCCCTCTTTTGACTTTCATACATCTAGCAAGGGAACCGCCAACCTTCTAGTCTCTGATTCTCAACATTATCTTTGACTCCTCACTTAACTGAATCTGCTCTCTTCAAAGTCTACAATGATTTCTTAATTTCCTAATCTGATTACCTTTCCCCAATTTTAAATCTTCTTGATTTTTGTTTAACATGTGACCACTGCTGATGACTCTCCTACTGGCTTGTTTAAAAAGATTTCATGTGTAAAGTCTCATAATTGCACTTAAAAATTTGGACAAATAAATTTCTACTAAACACTGTAACAATCTTCCAAACAGACAGTTTCAGCAGATTTTTGAACCTGCTTATATTAATATAAAAATGCAATACTTTCTAATTTGTTTAAAAGAACTGACTGGCATCAAGGAAGGCAGAACTATACTAGTGAAACTACAGTAAAACTTTGTGTATAATTGTTGAATGGTCTAAAAAATGAGTAGCATTATTTAATAAGCACAGCCAAAAAGTAAACTCCTTCTATTTGGTTCTAACCATTTTTGTGATGTGTCTTTTTCCACTACGAAAGACATTAAAACTAAGGTTAGATGCAGACCACTTAATCACTGTATCATAGTGATTATCACAGTGCTATCACGATGATAAACTAGGATTTTAAAGAGTAATGAAGCAGCAAACAGAACCAAGAATGCAAAGGGAACATACTAGTCCACTGCTCCCAAAATTTCTCCCTAAACCATTTAAAAATAATATGTCAAATAGAATTTTAAAGGGGCATAATCAGCAAAAGGCTGGGCTAAGGCATTTTTCCAGCCAAGGAGCAAAAGAAAAATGGAAGGCTGAGAAAAATGGATATACCAGGAAAAGGAGAAAAGAGCAGAACAGAGAAAATATTTATCTCATATAAAACAAACATGCCACAAAAAAGATTTTTGTTATTGTTGTTGTTTTTTTAATGAGAGGGGAAAAGACTGGTAAGTGGGTAAGGCTAGGACTTCACTCTCATCTGAACTGATTCAAATAGAGAGTGATGTCATAAGCAAATTAGGGAAGCATGGAAAAAAACACCTGTCAGATCTACATATAAGGGAAGAATTTATGATGGGAGATATAATGAGTAATTTTGATGAAATTTAAAAGGTTTTGCACAAATGAAACAAATACAGCCAAACTCAGACACAAAAGCAGGAAACCAGGGGGAAATCTTTACATCAATTTTCTCTGATAAAGGCCTCATTTCTCAAGTATGTAGGGAACTTGGCCAAATTTACTGGGGGGGAAAAAGAGCCATTTCCTAATTGATAAATGGTCAAAGGATATGAAAGGCAGTTTTCAGAAGAAATCACATCTATCTATAGTCACATAAAAAATGCTCTAAATCACTATTAGAGAAAAACAAATTAAAACAACAGTTACCATCTCACACCTATCAGATTGGCTGACATGACAAAAAAGGAAAATGACATACTGAAGGGGATGTGGAAAAACAGGAACACTGTTGGTGGAGTTGTGAACTGGTCCAACCATTTTGAAGAACAATTTGAACAATTCCCAAAACTCTATAAAAATGTACACTACTCTTTGATCCAGTAATACCCTTATTAGGTCTTTATCCCAAAGAGATCAAAGAAAAAGCAACAGGACCCATCTGTACAAAAATATTTATACCTTCTCTTTTTGTGGTGGCAAAGAATTGAAAATTGAGGGGATGTTTATGAACTGGGGATTGGCTGAACAAGTTGTGGTATATGATTATGATAGGATACTAAACTATAATACTATATTGTACTATAAGAAATGACGAGCAGGAAGGTTTCAGAAAAACCTGGAAAAACCTATCAGTGAGGAGAACCAGAATATTATACATAGCAACAGTTACAGGAACAACAATCAACTATGAAAAACTTAGCTACTCTGATCAATACAATGATCCATGAAAATTCCAAAGGACTCATGATGAAAAATGCTATCTACCTACAAAGAAAACTGATGAGTGCAGATCGTCTCTCTGGGCCCCAGTATTTTTTACCTATAGGATGAAAGCAGATAGATTAAATGGCCTCAAAAGTCCCTCAGAGCTTTAAATTTATGATCTCAGGAGGAGGGGGGAATTGTCTAAACAGATTATTGTGGTCGTCCAGGGAACTCATTAACTAATTTAGTTTTAAAGAACATGTACAAAAGATGGAAGCAGGAGGGTAATTAGCAGACAGTATATAACAAGAGATGGGATTCGAACCCAGGAACCCTGATTCCAAAGACAGTGACCTTTCTATGGTATTATGTTTGGGATGATTGTTTCTTTTTTTATCTTCAAAATTTAAGCCTTGAGATCCTGCCTGGGCTGACTTCCCTCACTAAAAATTTAGTCCAGGGATAACCTTTTTCTTAATCCTCTGAAAAAAAAAAAACACCTAAGATGTAGTATAAAAACACTAAGGTGACAGTATATCTGGCTTTTCTTTCTCCTCCACAATGAAACAGATTCTCTGTATATATTTTAATCAATTAAATTCAATTATAGCAGACAAATTAACTTTTTCATGGTTCTAGAGTTAAAGATGCTGGGTTGCTGGGACACCCTAATCTATGCCCAAAGCCTATATTTGGCATGTTTTATGATCATGATGAACTTTGACCTCAGCCAGTCTTTCATGATGCAAGATTACCCTCTTCAGTTTCAAAGGAACTGAATGACCAAAGGAGTGAGACAGATGGATTTGGTTTTGCAAATAAATTGCAGTGTATTCTTTGTGCAACCTATTCTCAGGAAGTCCATGAAGATCCAGAATAGGTATGTGCTGAGTGAACAGTTGTGTCTTTTAGATCCCAGACTCTCTGCAGTATTGAATAAGGAAACAAGTAGAACATATTAGGTTATCTGCCTTATCTATTTAGAACTATTATTACAGGCCAGTATTAAAGTTACCCTAAGTGTCTCCCCTAAAAGATGATTGCTAATTAATAAAGTTGAATAGAATGCCACCTAAGAACCAGTTAATCAGAAAGCATCAGAAGCAATGAATCAACCAAGGGGACACAGAAAAATAAATGAAAAAATCAAATCACATTGAGCATTACTATACCAGAAAGGAAAATATTTTACTAAGCTTAAGTTGCTTTTCCTAAAGTCAACAAATGTTTTAAAGATCCTCAACAAATATATTTGATTCAAATGTGAAAGTCAACAGCACAAACCATTTGAAAGACCTGCTTTTTACTTATGTGTAATTTTTCTGCTGAAAATCTCCTAAAATATCAACTGTTTAAATTTTCACAGTAAGGATGATAGTATATTCTGAAATACAAAAATATAATAGATACAATGGGGAAAAAACAAATACTATTTATTACTTAAATACAAACTTGAAACATGATATAGACATTATATCAAAAGTTCAAGAAGATGCAAATCAGATTTACAAAATGTCTTGTTCTGCCTTGCCAAATAAAACAATGCTAAAAAAATAAAAGTCACAGAAGAACATTTTTAAAGTAAAAACATTTAAAGTATCATCCAAAATTATAAAAGTTTTATTCACAAATTCTCTTCTCCACCCTAAGGTGCCTGTAAACAGTTTTTTAAAAAAATGTTTATAGATTAAAGGAATGTCTATCACAGTTCGCATAAACTTCTATCACTGAAGCACAACAATGCTACACAGTAGTTTCATGCTTCCATAATCCAGTCCTAATATTGCCAGTGCTGTCTGTACTCAGCAAAGGTCCATCCTGTCCATTGCTTTTAAGTGGTCCATTTTGTATAGCCAGATTTAGGCCATATGACTTTTGCTGGCTCTCAAGTTCAACTACTATTGGCTTTCTTAATACATCCTTTTTGTTACTGGTAGCAATAGGCTTTTCAAAATTTCTGCTGCTTTTGGGAAGTGTGCTACATGCATCACTGCTATCTTGTTGAGGTTGGTTATATTGCCTCTCACGATAGGCTAAATAAGCTCTTCTACTCCTTGAATGTCCTTCATTATTGCCTGGTCGACTCTTAGGTAGGCCATTTTGAACACTTCCTTCCACACTGGTGGGGACATCATAGGCATATTCTCTTAGGACTGTAAGTCTGCTTGCACGATGTCCTTTACTTCTGTTTTTATGATGTCGACTTGGGTGTCCATTTGTTCGAAACTGAACTTCTACTGGGGCCACATGCATTTTAATATCATTGTCTACTGAGTGTTCAGTTAGACTATTATCAAGCTGAGGAATAGTATTTGGTGGAAGAGCATTACTATGGCACTGGGCTGCAGCAGCCTGTAAATTTGTCAGTTTACAGCCTTGTGAAGAATTTTTTACACTTGATGCACTTTTATTTGTGCATGAAGATTCTGCACTGCTATTAGTACATTTAGGAGCTTCTCCATTAGTCCCAATGGAACTAGAAGGCTGAATGTTGACTTGCACTGAGTATGCACTCCTTCCAGGACAACATGTGGCAATCCAAGCAAGTCTAACATCTTCTCTATTAACACAATGATGCATCATGACAAAAGCACTAAGACTTAAGCATGTGGCTCCAAAAAAACAACTAAAAACCAAGTCCAAAGGGTAATATAACGAAACAGACAAGGCCCCCAAAATCCACAATGCAACATATAAAAGTAGAGTAAGACTGGCTCCTAAAAGCTGAGAATGAAAAGTGTGTTCATTTTCCAATGCTGATGTAGAAACCAATGATAATGACATTGAATCCTGATGATTTACTTCTCCATGTTCACTGGTTGCCAATCTTTGCTGCTCCTCAGCTGGCTCTTTTAGTTCAAATTTGCGTTCAGGGTGTCGTTTCAACTGAATAAATATGCTCAGAAAGTACATGCAGTTTATGAAAATAATAAAGCTGGCAGGTCCATAAAAGGCACCTATGCTAGGTTCCCAAGCCATCCAGCAACTAAAAAAAGAACAAACCCATAAAATAGATCAAGATGGACACTCTCACAGAGTACAAATTTCCACAAATTAGTTTTAAAAGGGTTGAAATGTATATTAGTGCTTGTGGAAATCCTTCCAAAAAGTCACTTTAATTTAGACAGAATACAAATATCTGTTACAAAATACTCACTATGGTGCATTCGGCCTACTGCCATAATTCTTGATGTTAGCTGCTGCTGTTATTCCACATACAATGATAGGGATACCACCACCAATAAGGTAAAATCTAGAATAAGTAAGAAAAACGGGTATTAGTCATTTTTCTGATGCTCCTAAAGGGACAATTTCCAGTTTCTCAGCCTCTCACCTCCAGAGTACCCCGGGCCCACACTCAATGGCTCTTCAAACATTCCTGATTCTATTTCAATTGAGAAATGTTATTCTCTCTAGAGCGGTAAAAAGAAAGCATCACTAAACTGCCATGCGGGCCATATTACCATATGTATTTTGAACATTATAACTATCTCTTTCTCCAATAATATAATCATATGAGAAAACCAACTTATTTGAGGGCTAGTATAAGCAGATAGAAATAACTAACAAAAGAGTAGTCTACTTGGGTTTTAAGGATGAATAAAACTGATCAGGTTCTGCCACCTTGTGGACAAACAAGGCAGAATACTTAAATAGTGGATAAACTGTCCATTCTTCCTATTGTTTCATATTACACTTGGAAATAGAATTAATGCTATTTTTTGAGTCCACAAGATGTTTTCCCACTTCATATGAAAAGGTATATTGATCAAATCCTCTTTCCCATTTTAATTCTTACATTTGGTGGCAAGTGCCTCTCCAAATTAGTAATTTTGTGGTAAAAGCGTCCATATAGCAAAGGAAAGAGAACATACAGGCATAAAACTTAATATCCCAAGTGTATTTATTGAAGGAATTTTTAGAACTGATTAGGGCCTCAGCAAGATCAGAGAAAGAAGATGCCACAAATTCCTAAGTCTGTGCCACAAGGAGGTTTGGGGAGGAGATAGAGGGGGAATTACTAACAGCTCTAACAGTAGCTGCCTAGCTGTCTTTACATGCCCCAACACTGATGCAGGCCTTCATCACTTCATGCCTGCCTCAAGTCTCTCCCCATTCCACGTGATCCTCTACTATGCTGTCAAAATGATCTTTCAAAAACACAGATCTAACAATGTGGCACCCTCATTCAATAAACTCCAGTAGCTCCCTATCACCTCCAGGATCAAATATAAAATCTTCTGTTTAGCTTTTAAAGCCCTTCATAAGTGGCCCTACATTTCTGTCTTCCCTTAATTCTCCTCCACACGCTCTTAGATCTAGTGATGCTGGCCTTCTTGTTGTTCCTCATCAAAGACATTCCATGTCCTTCTGCCTTTTTATCTTGGTTTCCTGGTTTCCTTCAAGTCCCAGCTAAAAATCTTACCTTTGGGATTTAAATGCTAGTGTCTTCCTTCAAAGATTATCTCTAGTTTATCTTGTGTGTGTGTGTGTGTGTGGCAACTGAGGTTAAGTGACTTGCCCAGGGTCACACAGGCAGTAAGTGTCAAATGTCTGAGCCCACATTTGAACTCAGGTCCTCCTGACTCCAAGGCTGGAGCTCTTTCACCTGCGTCATCTACCTGACCCTCTGGCTCATCTTGTATATATTTTGTCTATACATAAATGTTGCTCTGTTGTCTTCCTTATTAAACAATAAGCTCCTTGAAGGCAGGGACTCGAATTGCTCGCATTTAGTACACTGTGTGGTACATAGTAGGTGCTTAACAAATACTAGTAGACATGATTTGCTATATATAAGATAGACCAACAAAGAATTACCCAGGACCTAGAGCAGAATTAAATTGATCAATTTTTAAAATTTATTTATACATATACAGAAATGCCAATGGGAAAAATGGTTGAGATTCAGTTTTATTGATCAATTATGAAAAAAAAAAACAAGTACAAAAAGACTTTATGGACTTACTGGTAGTTATGTAGGTAAAACATGTAATGACATAGGTCATACATATCCATATTCATTATTATTAAGGAAATCCTAGAGGTTCTTAAAGTATTACTGATAAAGACTTTAGCCTATTCCCAAGCACTGGCCAGAGAGTAAGGCTGGGCTGGCAGGAAGAAGTGAGACCCTGCTCTCCCAATGACCACAAAAACTGTACACTAACACAATTACCCAGTGTCTACACACATTTTATTAACTGCTCAATACAAGAAAGTGGCAGCCAGACTTTAAACAGAGGATTTAAATTAGTTCAGGATGCTTGAGAAAGGGGAGGATGGACATCTCAGCTTCTGGACCAAATGGACCACAGCAGTTACCTGGAGAAACAAAAGTCACCTGCATCCCTCTACAGTTTAAAAGTAGAAATGTCAGTGCAGATGTCAGAGTAACTTCTATCTTTATCCAGTTCTGCCCTTCTTCCTTGACCCAAGGAAGGACTGGACTAGCAATTTAAAAGCAATACTAATTAACTAAAAATGCCCAATTAAAGTAGTTCTATCAAAGTCTTATTATCTCATCATGGCTTAGAGGTGACCTCAGATTCTTAAATGTGATGCTAACATAGCATAAACTCTGACAAAACTGGAATGCTTTTTAAGTAACTGCCACAGTACTGGCTTATATGTCTGTCATCAGTTCAATAAGTTATTAAGAGTCTATCACTATATGCAAGGGACACTGACAGTTGCTAGATCAACCGACTTAAATTCAAGCAGTCTCATCATCAGAATATTGGCCACCATATGAGAACAGCATTTGGCCACAGGAATTCACAAAGATCACTTATTATTAAGATATAGAGGGGTTACAATCTGCATTCCAACCAATGAAATAACTAACATATCATCAGAGTTTGGGATTAAGGACCATAAGCATATAATAATTATACATATAAAATGAATATGTACCAAATTAAAAGCTAGGTTGTGCAATGGATAGGGCACTGGGTCTAGATTTAAGAAGACCTGACATACTTTATTATGTGACTCTGAGCAAGTCACTTAATAGCTGTCTGCCTGAGTTTCCTCATCTGTAGAATGAGGTTAATAATAATAACTACCTCCCAGGGTGGTTGTGACAATCAAATGAATTAATATTTGTAAAGTGCTCTGCAAACCTTAAAGTGCCATATAAATGTCAGTTATTATTGTTGATTACCAATGTCTCCTTGTGTCATAAAGGCATCCCTGGTTTCTGAAAGTAGAACAGCAAGCTTTGGTAGATGCTTTCAAGCTGGAAAGGCTTTGAGTATGTCTTTCATCAGAGATAGTATGTCTGCTGTCTAAGGAACAATTTAATTCTGAGAAGCTCATTAGGCTGGGGCATAAGAGTGATTAATTTTTCAGCCAGAGCAACAAAGTATCAATGATCTACTAAATAACCGTTCTAGTGAGGGAAGTATTTACAACACCACCAACAAAACACATAAATGAATGAAATGTAATAGTCTTCTGCCAGGTCTGCCTGCCTCAAGTCTCTTCCCACCCCAATCCATCCTCCACTCAGACACTTAAGTGATTTTTGTAAAGTCCAGGCCTGAACATGTCACCAATTCCTCCCTACCTTTCAAAAAACTCCAGTGGCTTTTCATCATTTCAAGGATCAAACACAAAATGTTCTATTTGGCATTCAAAGCTCTTCATGACCTAGACCCCTCCTACCTTTCGTCTTCTTACTCCCCAACAAGTATTCTTCAATCCAGTGACATTGGCCTCCTGGCTGTTCCATGAATAAGACATGCCATCTCTTGGCTCTAGGCAATTTCTCTGGCTGTCCTTCATACTTGGAATGTTCTCCTTCTGCTCCAACACTACTGACCTCCCTAGTCCTAACTAAAATCTCACCTTGTATGGGAAGACTTCCCCAATCCTTCTCAATTCCAGGACCTTTCCTTTGTTAATTATTCTTATTTATCTTGTATATAGCTTGCTTTGTATATAATTGTTTGCATACTGTCTCTTCCACTGGATTGTACGCTCCATGAGGGCAGGAATCTTTTGCCCATTTTTGTATCCTTAACACTTAGCATAGTGTCTGGCACACAGTGGGTGCTTAAAAAATGTTTACTGATTGAATGATTGAAAAACACTAATAGATGTTCACATATACTAGGTCTCCACAGCTTGCTACTAAATAACATAGCTGAATACTCATAATCTTTATATTATAGAGGAAACAGACTAAGTATAAGTCTAAACCTACCTTTCAAACAGACACAAATTCAGGTTGAAATATAACAGGTTGGCTTATAAGCCATAAACAATAGTATAAAAATTTTAAATTCTATTATGGTTCATCATTACTTTATGTAATAATTTAAATGTTGCCAAAATCTATTAAAGTAAGTTATCTTATACCTGAGCATGGGCCTTGGAGGAGGTGGAGGCTCATCAGGATCCTGACATCTCTTAGCCTTTTTAGTGACTTGTTTATAGATATTTCTAGCTGTCACTCCCACCCACAGTACTGTGGCAAGTGTAGAGTAATGGAGAATTATTCCAACCTGGAGGACAAGGTAAGAATAGCATATCAGCCTTCAAAAATCACTGAAATTTTTTTTTATTTTCAACAACAGTTTATGTTTACTGACACCCTCTTTTAATTCAAATAAGCAACTACCTAAACATCAGCAAATGGAACACTCAATTCATAGTCTTGTTTCTATAAGTGATTTCTAAGCTAATCATTTATTTACACTCTCTCTTTGTGTACACACACACACACACACACACACACACACACACACACACAGAGTGCTGTTCTCATTATGGGAATTTTAGCAGATCAGAAAAAGTTAAATTTCAAGAACTAGCTTCAAGAAGAACAGCAAAAAGAAATGACACTAACTTCTAATAATTATCTATATGTTAATATCCTACATAAAAAAATCAATCCTTTGAGGTGCTAACAGTGCCAATTACCCATATGTTTAATAAACTAAGTTGGGCATAGGTCAAAATACCAATGTCTTAACATACAGAATTACTATATGAGATGAACTGTTAAAATTTAAAAATAGCATTCTCTCTTAATGATAGCGTGCTAGAACATGTAATAAAACATTAAGTGTCCTGTAACTCATGCTTACCACTGGTTCCAAGATGGGTAAAAATTTCTCTGGAACAAAATAACTTTTCAAAATGTATTCTCAAGTTTAAAAATTCATCTATGACGGGGAAATTACACAGAAAATAAAATGCTGAAGTTTCCTTGAAGGATTACTTGTTGCTTGCTTTTTCTATTTTATGACTTCAGTTCTAATTATTTTAAAGAAAATTTCTATATGTAAAGAAACTGCCTATTCCCAGGAGATAGCTCATTGATTTCAAACACATCAATCTTCTTAAGACAATAAAATTTCAGTACAACAACAAAAAAATGAGTAGTCTCCCTATTATTTTGGGATTTTTGCTATCAGTAAAAATAGAAACCCAAGCACTAAAATTTATTTTAGGAAAATAAACATTATTTACTTTTGTACAGTTCCTAGTACCCTTGAACAAAATGAGTTTTGTTTTTGTTGGAAAAAAAAAATCAGTTAATTAGTCTCTGTCCTAAATGTTAGAATATCACAATGACTCCAGATGATGTAAGGGTTGGAGTCTCAGTTCACCTATACCAATAATAACTACTCTAGTCTAAAGAAACTGAAGCAAAGCCTGATTCTTAAAATTTAATATTAATTCATATAAGCTTTCTAATAATACAGCCAACATGAAATATGCCACATATCCATATTGATGTGATCTGAAAATAATATTCATATATCCATTCTGAAATACTTGGATAATCATCTCTTCTATTCCTAAAATGAGGGAAAATACTTCCCTAGTTTTTAAAATGTCAAAGTACTAAATATTTCCTATGACATTATTAAGTTTTTTGAGCAAATCTAAAAAAAATCAGAAACTTTTCTTGTTTAACTTCAGTGGATATCATAATATGGATTTTTTTTCATAACAGGAAGTTTCAATACATGTCAAAGTTTGTTTGATAGCATGGTTCTTTAAAATGTGTCGCAAAAACTCAGAACTGGAAGACACTCTAAGTACAGTGGTATTTCAGTGTTTTGATGACACAACTCTACTGCATATTCAAAGAATCACAGAATTTCAGAGTTTGAAGGGACATCAGAGATCACCTAGTTCAACTCCTTCCTGAATTTTAAATCTTCTTTACAACATCTTCGACAAATGGTTATCCAACTAACCACCTCCTAAAAGCATTTTATTTCACTTTTGAACAGCTCTAATTTTTATACAGAATTCAAACTGCCTCCCTGTAACTTCTATGCATTAGTCCTGATTCTGCCCTCCATAGCTAAGCAGAACATGCCTAATTACTCTATAACCTTTAAAATCTTTGAAGACAATGATCATGCACTTCCTTAAGACTTTCATTCTTCATGCTAAATGTCCACAGTTTTTTTACTTTTTTTTTCTTTTCAATAATATGGCATCCTCTCAACATCCTAATTGCCCTTTCCTGGACATACTCAGGCTTGTCAAAGAATTTCAAGTAAGATATACAGAGAAGCAGGCCTATTACTTCAGATGTGGTCTGATCAACACACAATTACAGTAGACTTATTCTAGATGATGCTTCTATTACCACATACTAAGATGGCATTAATTCAAATGGAGTGAGGAAAGTTGAAAAACTAAGATTACTCCTGTTCACTTCTGTAAGTCTTAAGTATTTCCCTGTTCCCTTTAACTACAGAAAAAGCATGGGAATTGATATGATGTATTGGAGATAAAACTAGATTGGGAGTCAAGATGGCTAACAGCCTCTTTGAGTCTCTTTCTCCATCTGTAAAGAACAAAATTATATGTACAAAAAAGTTTTTGTGAGGATTGCTTGTAAATTTTAAAGCACTATGCAAATGAGTTATCACTGCTGTTATTAATATCATACTTATTATATCATTTCTAACTCTACCACAAACTAGATATAACCTTGAGCAACTCTCTTCAACCATGTGGGCCTGTATTTTTCTACCAACAAAATGAAGGGGTTGAAATAGATGAACTACCAATAACCCAGGCAATGGCATGATTATCAAATATGCAGCTGCCACAAAACTAGGCAACAATAGCTAACACATTAGATGGTAATCAAGACCTAAAAATGTCTTGACAAGGTGGAACAGTGGGTTAAACCTAGTAAGATGAAATTCAATGGCTATAAATGTAAAGTCTAAATAGGCTCAAAAATGTAACAAAAGTACAACATGTGTGAAGCTTGCTTGCAGAGCCTTTATCTGAAAATAATTTGTGGGATTTAGAGGCCCTACCAGCTCAGTAGGAATCAAAAGTGTGATGTGGAAGCCCAAAACACTAATGGGATCTTGGACTACATTCAGAGAAGCACAGTTTCTAAGAAAAAGGAATCCTTCTTTCCTTTGCCCTGGCCAGACCACATCTGCAGGACTGTATTCAGTTCTGAGGGCCAAAGTCAGTTTACAGACTATAATAAGCTAAAGAATAACTAAGATGGTAAAGGATCTTAAGTTTGTGTCCTTAAAAAAGAATGAAGGAACTAGAGACATGGAAACCAAGAAAGGTTAAGGAAAACATCAGGATAGCTGTCTTCAAACATCTAAAGAGCTATCATGTGGAAGGGGAATTTGATTTATTCTGTTTGTCCCTAGAAGCCAGAACTTAGAGGAGGTGGAAACTCAACTTAGGCTTGATAACAGGAAAAATTTCCTAACAATTAGAATTGCTTAAAAGTGTAATGGGCTGCCTCTGGAGGTGGTTCATGTTCCCTCTTCATTGAATTATCTTCAAGCAGAGGCCAGATGGCTGCTAGTCGAGTATGGTGTGGTAGGGATTCCTTTCAAGTATGGCCTAAGAAGGTATTGTGGCCCTTTGCAACTCTAAAATTCAATAATTCCATCATATTTTGTACCCAGCAGTTCTGATATACTAGGTTTTCACATACGTTCAGGGTAAAAATTTTCTCATTCCACAATTATAAAATTGGTTAATAAAGTAATTTTATGAAATCAAATGGAATTCTATTAACAAAATTAACAAAACCACTGTGCATAAGATAATGCCCTAAATAATGTCTTATAAATGTATTCAAAATCTCTTCAATCTTGCAAAATTTTATTAAGTCTACAAAATATAGAATGATTCTGTAATTATTTATTAACACTACCCTTTCTAATATCTTTTCATGGGAATAGAGTATAAGTATTTGCATTCCAAAAGTATTATTACATTTTTTTAGACCTGTGTCTGATCTGATTTACATACAAAGTCCAAATTTATTTTCAGACCTGTCTTAACCTGAAAATTAAATGTGGCCAGTGTCTATAAACTGATAGTTTAGCATGGTATATACACTAGGCACTAAATTAAATGCATTTATCATTACCTTATTTTACGGATTATAATAAAATTAATTTGGTGTCAGAACATTTTAGACTTAAAATATATTTACTAAATGTATAAATACTGATCTAGGACCCTGTGAGTATGGAATAGCTTTAAAACAAAGGATGGCTAAAAATTATGTACCACCACAGAGAGAATTAAATCTATTTTCATTCTCCTCCCACAAAAAAAAAATTGTCATATAGCATTAGATATGTCTTATACAGGGGTGGGGAACCAGCGGCATTGGGACCACATAAGGCCTCGAGGTCATATGTAGCCTTCTAGGTCCTTGGGTGTGGCTTTTTGACTAAGACCAAGTTTTATAGAAAAACACTTTTTATCATTTATTTATTATTTGACTCAGTCAAAAAGGCCACACCCAAGGACCTAGAAGGCTACATGTGACCTCAAGGCCACAGACTACCCACTCCTAGTCTTATACATACAAAATCTAATACATGATATCTGGGAAAGGAAAATATTGTTATGGTTCAAATTTTTTTTCATGAAATTCTTCCTTCTCATCATATTTACCACTACTGTTCTACAGAACACAGTTGAGAATAAAAATGAATAATTTCAAATCTTTCAAATATATTCAAAATCATTTAAAATGGAGACTGTAATTGGCAGAGGTAGCCGTATGAAGGCTCTATGTAATGAAACATGTGTAATAAAAAGATAATCTTTAAAAAGTACAACTATTAATGGTTTTAAAATATCTCTTGCATTTAATACTTCCTGATTTTTCCCCTCTCCACTTTACAAATTCTTTTCCTTACTGAATGAAAGTATAAGGAACACACAATACTATGAAATTCTATGTGGTTCATGTTAGTGAAGTATTTTATTCTAAGCAAAATCTTTTAACAATCCTTTGAATTAACTATTTGGAACTAAAACAGAATTAGTCCAGCTAGCAACTATATCCTTCATCAAAATGCATTACACAAAAGCTGCATAAGAAATGTATTCAGAATAAATGCTTGCTCAGTGGTACTTATATTTTTTTAATTTGGGCCTAATAAAGTGTGGGAAATTAATTTTCTAATAAGAGTTCATTGTTTTGTTCCTTTGTATTATATTTTCTTGTTTTCAGAGTTTCATATTTTTGTAAAAACTTACTGCTTGGCAGATGCTGGCATTTTTGGTCTGAGTTATGCCTCCAACAAACACTCCGCATGTCAGGAAAATATGAAAGCACAAGTTCACTAGCATGTGCCAGCTTTTAAGGCTGATCCTAATTAAACTGTTTTTAAAAAAAAGGCATCATTTTAATACATAATTTAGTAAAGATTAATCATAAACAACATTTAAAACATTACAACATTTAAAATATTCATTGGAAACATTCATTTAGTAAACATTAATCATAAATATACTTCACCATCAAATTTACCAACATCATTCATTTAAAAGGGAATGCTTCCTAATTCATGAAAGAAGAAATTATGTTAAAGCTATAAAAGATATTTTACAGGAGTCAGAAAAACCTGGGTTCAAGTCCTACTACTGATACATACTGGCTATGTGTTACTATCTATCACTTAATCTCAAAGTGCCACAGGCAATTCTCATTGCACAGAAGTACAAACATGCATTTTGGAGTTTCCTCATCTGAGACTCCCTTTATAAATGGTATCATAGGTCCAGTCTCCATCCTATTTTATCCTATCTTTAAAAAATTAATAAAAATTCTATAATGCTAAATATTTCAGTAGCATAGTTCTTCTGGATTCAATGTTGTACAAAGAACAATCCATTATATATCAGGAAAACATTGATTAAAATTTAGAAGGAAAAACAAATTCTAAAATAAGGATTATGGTTATTATTATAAATAATTTCATCATAGTATATTATAAAATTACAGGTACATTTGTCCTATAATTTGTCTTGACATTTAGCTATACAAGCACAAACCCCCTAAGCCAATGATATATATATTTTTTAAATGACATTTGGAAAAGGAAAAAAAATCATATTATCTAGAATCATACAAAGAAAATAATAATACTATTTTTAAATGCAAAATTACTCACAAAGTAAAGATATTGAAAACATGATATATCATAGTACGAGGAACTTTGGGCTGTATCTTGCATCAAATAGCATTATCTCTGTAGAATTAATAATTCCAGTGATTTTTAGCAATTTGGTGAAAGGCTTCTAAGTATACATAAAAATCCTTTCCCCCCCTCCGCTTTTCATATACTTCAGACATGAAGAGAGAAGCAGCAGACTAGGAACCAAAAATCCTTTTTTAACACTAAAAGTTTACTGCTACTGTCTTCAGGGACATGTAATTGTCTGGCAATATTCTATCACTTCAGCTATGAGTAAGCTTAAAATCTCTTTCCACATGTAATACTCTATTCCTAATCATGTGGTTTGTTGAACTAATGGACCTCTTTCATGATAATAAAATCAATTTAAACTGCTGAGCTTGTTAAAATGCTGGGCACATAAAGTTTAGGTATTTTAGTGTGTGCTAGTAAGGACTAGTTGGAGCAAGGATCCAACCTATATTTGGTACTCCCAAATTTAGTGAAGTTTGGAATGTGCCTTTGGAGTTTGACTTTTTTTGCAGCATTTGCTTTTTACTTAGTTTAAAATTCTGCAAAGGAACAGTAATTTGCATAACATAATGTATTAGCTTCTAACCAAAAAAATTATATTTGTCAGTTTTGCTCTATTTAAACAAATGTGAAATCATAACCCAAGCTGTTAATTTTATTTCTTACCTATGATGGTATATATAACTGACATTGATCATTAACAAATTTAAGAGGAGAATTATAGATGTGGCATATACAACAGGATGTAATAGATCAGCTGGCTGGGAATATATTTCAGATCCTGTCAAATCCTAATGGAAAAAAAGAAATAACGTTATTCTATCTATAGTTTTCTTAAGATTAACTGCAAAGGCTTTTCCAGAGACATAAAATACAGTGAGAAAGAAACTCTTGGCCCTGTATATTTCAGATACACCCAAATTTTATATTTGCTATCTATTTTACTTAGCTACGCCATGAAGAATGACTTGATTGTCTTAATACCTACTGAATTAATCTGTCACACTTTAATTCAGATACAGAAAGAGATATGCATAAGAAGTACACATCAGATAGCAAACTCTCATAAGCAGTGTAGGAAGGTACTGTTAGAGATTTTATTTTTCAATTAATACATTCAGTTTCTGTCATTTTGAATATTTCCTGAACAACATGGTAATTAAAAGATAGTAAAGTGGTCCAAGGGGCCTATGTTTCCATTACAGAGCCACAGACCGCTCTGTATCGTGTTTGTGCTTCCCTCTGATATGACTTCCATATCCTTAGTTCTAAAAACACTTTCTGTACCCACCAGAACTCTAGAACTCTTATTTAGGAAATAGAACCTTGGGTTCTTCAGGTACTTTTAGCTATGAAAAAAAAATTGGGGTAGAAGGGATATAAGGATGGCAATCTATAATTCTTGAAACTAGAATTTCCACTGTAATTTTCAGTCACTGGGACATAGAAAGCAAAGAAATTATTCATAAGAAACTGGGTCCACATTGCCAATAACCTCCAAATCAGCCATATGGTCAAAATCAAGAAGAAACTGAGAAGGAAAGCCAGCATCAAGGAGTAAACTGGTAGAGAAACACAGTGGTAATATATATATGGAATTAATCAAATAAATTCAATAAACAATTATTAAGTGCCTACCACATGCCAGGTGCTGTGCTAAGCATAGAACAGAGAAATATCCCAGGACAACGAGAAAATTATGGAAGTTCCAGAACTTCACAGCTGTATTACATAGAATTTTAGACCTTGAAGGGACATTGAAGTTCACCTTATTCAACCCTCTGAATTAACAGTCAACACAAAGGAAATCAATAATACTATTAGTGAACACTACTCCCAGTTGTACTCAAATATAACATGAAAATAGATCTGTGATCTCATCAGTTTGGAAGTCTCCTCTGAAGAAGCTGACCCTTCTTTTGAGATTCTTGTACACATATCCCCAAAAATTTGCCCCTTGGGGTCCACCCAACAATGTGCCGAAAGATCAATAAATCGTAAAAGCTGTCCACCTCTCACTTCTTAAATCTTCCCATTGTGACCAGCTTCCAATCATGAAATTCTTGATGACATCTTTTGACGTTATAAAATAAGAAACTGGGAAATTGAAAGGAAATAGATGGTTGTGTAATCAAATATAAAGTGGCTAAACTGATACCAGAGGAAATTAATAACTTAAATAGACATCTCAAAGGAAGAAAAAGGTGATCAGAGAATTACCCTATACTGTTTCAAGACTACTACGTCCAGACAGATTCATAGCATGGTTCTTTCAAACTCTCCAAGAACCCATATCCTATAATACGTAGATTTTTCAAAAAAAACAGAGAAAGAACATCATCCAATAATTTTATGAGACAAATACGATAACCAGTGAAAGATTACACTAAAAATAAAATTATAGGTCAGTTTCCCTAATGAACATAGTTTTTAAGATGTTAAATAAAAGATTAGCCAATAAAATGAATATTAAAAATTATCCATAATATTTTAGCATCTTTTTTACCCTCCATGTAATGCTGATTCAACATCAGAAAATGATCAACATAACAAAACATTTAAACAAAAACAAGTATACCAATATATGCAGAAAAATTCTTTTGAAATCACCCAAAATTTAAAATCCGAAATGATTCTGACAAATAAAAATATGACATTAATTTAAGGAACAACTTTTAAAATTTAGTCACAACGGCAATTTTAAGTCCACAGTGGATAAATAGTTACATCACAGGAACAGACAATTTTCAAAAGGAAAAACTGGAATTGTTACTAATACTTTTAAGAAATATTCAGTATCACTAACAAAAGAAATGCAAATTAAAACAAATTCAAGTTACCACCTTTTACTTATCAAATGTGGAAAACTGAAGAAAACAAATTTCAGTGCTGGTGAGGAAAAAACCAAGTATATTCATTTATTGTTAGTGTAACTGCAGATTTGTAAGCTCTTTTTATAAGAGTAAAATAATGGCCCCACAGTAAGCTATGAAAGTAACTTTATACCTTTTGAACACAAAATTCCATTTTTAGAAATATACCCTTATCAAAATGAAGGAAAACAAGCATTATCGATATAAAGATGTTCATATCAGTATTATACATAACCACAAACTACAAAATGAAATATTCAATAGCAGAATGGTTAAATAAATTGTAATACAAATGAAATGGAACACAAGCATCCATTGAAGACCAACAGGCATGATAATTATGAAGAAACTATTAGAGTTCTATATTAAATACTTCAAAATTTAAAAAGCAGTTATGGAAATAATGTAGTACACATCAACTATGGCTACATAAATGGAAAAGAGAATGCAAATGAATGGACAAATAGAGATTCCTAATGAGGATTTAGGAGTGACGGAAAAATGTTGTGACACTCCACACATTTAAATTAATTTATATAATGACAAAGTTTGACTGAGAAGAGATGAGAAAATACCTTTTCCTTCTCCCTATAAAAGTAGGAAATTAAAGGTGTTTTATAACCATTCTCAGCTGACAAGTTAGTTAGTTTTGCTGAACTCTGTCCTTCTCTACTCAAAATTCCCACACACGTGACCCCAATCCCATCCCCCGGTCTTTTTTTTAATTCTCTGTTACAGGGAAAGGTTCTCTGGATAGGTATGTATTTGGAAATAAAGATAATCTTATTTTTTTTAATTAAGCTAATTTTTTTCATTAACAGACACTTCTCCCACTTCATTTCCCCTAAACCCAGAAAGAAAAAAAAAAGAGGGCAAAAACCTTGTAACAAATATGCAAACAAATTCCTACACTGGGCATATCCAATAATGTAGGTCTCATTCTGTATTTAGACTCCATCTCCTCTCTGTAAGAAAGTAGGCAGCATTTTGTATCTTCAATCTTCTGGAATTACGGTTGGTCATTTCATTAATCAGAATTCTTAAATCTTTCTAAGTTGTTCATTTTTACAAAGCTGTCATAACCTAAATTTTCTCCTGGTTCAGCTCACTTCATTTTGTATCAGTTTATACAATCTTCTCAGATTTCTCTGAAACCATCCCCTTGGTTTCTCATTGTTGTTAATGTCACAATAGTATTCCATGACATTCATATTGTTCAGCCATTCCCCAAATGATGAATACCCCCTTAGTTTCTAGTTCTCCATCACCATAAAGAGCTGCTATACATATTTGTGTATATAAATATAAATTTATATCACAAATTAATGTGTCCACCTGTGAGTGTACATATATACATATATTCACACACATACACACTTCTCTTTTCCCCTGAATCCTTTGTGGTACAGACTTAGTAGCAGATAATGGATATACACAGTATATTAAGTTCTGAGGCATAGTTCCAATTTGCTTTCCAGAATGGCTAGACCAATTCATAATTCCACCAACAATGCACTAGTGTATTGTGCCACAAGTGCTACAATATTTGTCATTTTTCTGTTATCTTTTTCAATGTTATGCAGGTGAGGCAGAAACCTCAAAATTGTTTTAATTTGCATTACTCTATTAGTAAAATGGAACATTTTGCCCATTTTATCTTCTGTGATCCTCTCTAATCTTTCTTTGGTCATGAATTCTTTCTCATTTATAAACTTGAAAGGTAATTTCCTTTTTGTTCCACTAATTTGTTTATGATGTGACTTTTGTATAAAAGTAATATATCATTTGGAGCTTATCTTGGAACATAATGTAATCTAAACCTAATTTCTGCTCCACTGCTTTTCAGTTTTCCCAAAAGTTTTTACTGAATAGTAAGTTTTTTTTAAAAAAATACTCTCTTAACATTTATTAAATGAAAATTTAAGAACTTCAGGTTTAAACGCCAAAACTATACCAAGCAAACAGCTCATTCAACTTCTTTTGGAAGACATTCTTTACATATTCAAGGAATAATTCTTTTTTTTTTTTGAGGGGGAGACAATTAGGTTTAAGTGACTAGACAAGGGTCACACAGCTAATAAGTGTCTGAGGCAGGATTTGAACTCAGGTCCTCTGGACTTCAGGGCTGGTGCTCTACCCATTGCACCACTTAACTACCTCTCAAGGAATAATTTCAACTTCAATATTATGATGTGAAAAAAGAATTTCTTTCAGAGGATCACAGACTCTGAGCTAGAAGAGATCTTAGAGGTCATCTAGTTCAATTCCTTCTTTTACAGATGTTGAAACTGCAGCTCAGAAAAGAAAGTAGTAGTAGTAAATGGAGAATTGTTATTTGAACCCAGATTCGATCTTTCAAATCTGATGGAGACTACCCCCCGCCGATACACCCTTCAAGATTCACACTAATCCAAATGAATTTACTTCCATGATTTAAAAAACAAAATTTTTAAATGGACATTGACAGTATATAGCTATCAGAATGGAATTCAAACAGTTAATGTGCCAGGCACTTTCAAACAGGTAAAAGAATTAATGAATTTTGATTTAGGCAAAGTATTAAAACAGCCTTCTTTTAAAACCTTTGTTTTAATTTACCATAGAGTACTCTGGGGAAAAAAATCAAAAACCCTTCAAAAAGTATCATCGACTTTTATGCAACTTTCTGGAACAACTTAAGTTTCTTTCTTTGGTATTTTATTGGATACTTGATTTTATCTGTTTGGTCACTCCCTATATTAATGCAGATCACAACCCTTCTATATCCTTTACAATTTCTGTCCTTGTCTTGGCACAAAAAGTTGGAACCTCGCCATAGCCAACTTAGAAAATCACAGTTGGGAAGGATAACATCTATCTACTCGTCCATTATTAGTGAGTACATACCTGGTAACAAAAGCTAGATATGTGAGTTTTAT